CAGACTAGACGATGTCATTTTCCACTTTGAATTTAGACACCCCAACCTTACCCTGACTTGACCTCCCTGATTGTAGCTGAGATATTGATACAAATTATTAACCCATACGCCCCTTTTTTTAAATAATTGCTCTAGCCGTTACCACAGTAATTTTAATTTTAATAATGAATATGCTTATAAAATGCGTAAATTTCAGGAATTAGTTACTCAAAAAAAAAAAAATTTTGCTTGAAGATGGAACAGAGCTTGGTACTTTAATTCAATTTAATTCAAATAATTATATTGAAGTTTTTGGCTCTTGTTTTGAAACATGAGAACTCTTATGTAGCGATGGAATCATATTTTTAAATAAATAATTATATATATATATATATATATATATATATATATATATAGGAGCTGATAAGGTTATTTAATTTATTGCCATTCCAAACTTAAAAAATCTCAACACATTTTCTTTTGCACACAGTTTTTGTTTTTTTGATTCTGGCCTGAAGATGCCAAATCTAAAATGCACATTGGCAAAACACATTGTCATTTAAAATAGTTTTCCACTTTGTCCCATTATATTCATATATATATATATATATATATATATATATATATATATATATATATATATATATATATAATTATTCTGTGTTCTTATAATTTTTTTTCTTTCTGGACATAAATTATGTAGAAATTGTCCAAATGTTCTGTATGTCTGAGTGCTTTTTGGCTATTCTTTTAGCTATTGTCAAGGATGATTTTTATTTTTACTTTTAACTGAATGTATTTATTTTTTTATGTATATTGAGTTATAGGAATGTTTTTATTTTCCAAACATGTTCAGAACATTTTTGCCATGTTCATAGTTGATGTTATTCAGTGTTGGAAGAATTATTAATAAAAAGAAAAAAAGCCTTTGTCAACCAATCTGACAGATGTATCAGCTCCATGTCCTACTGATACTTCCCATCCTCCAGTTTGTTTCCCTTGCCCACAAAGAGACATTCTGCCTTCATCCTTGATATCAGCAATACAAAGAATTTTATAAAATTTTCTTTCTTTTATTTTTGCTACCATACGTATGTTTATGTATGTTTATATATGTCTGTTTATATATGTATGTTTATAACACTAATATCATATTAATTCTTATGATAATCTGAATAAACTAAAAATTGAAATGCAATTTTTTTTTCACTTTCAGCTGCTGCTGGAGGAACAGGCCAATTTGCAGTGAGTATTGCCTTTATGTCATTATTCCTTTTTTAATTAATTTTGCATATGATGATCAAATAAAGAAATGCTGATCAAATTAGGAAAATCTTTATAAATTTAATATGTTTTGATATTTCCTGTTTAGCTACATCAGAAATTCTTTTTTTTGGAATGAGGATACTGATGGAGCTAAAATAAAAATTGTACATTTTACCATATTTCTGGTTCATGCGATGCAATCAATTTATCAGAATTAGATAAATTTATCATTGAATGTTTGATGAAAAAGATATATATATATATATATATATATATATATATATATATAATATTATATTTTTTTTATAAGAGATTATAATAAAAACATTTTTGAATTGGTACAAAAAAGCTTTCATGTTTCAATAATATGATTATATTTTCACAGGCAATGATAAGTAACTGGTTATTTAATTTGGATATATATATATATAGAGAGAGAGAGAGAGAGAGAAAAAGAGAGAGATCTATATATATATTTGTCTCATAAGTTATCCTCAACTTTATTCTCATGTCCACACAAAAGCTTTCATGTTTCAATGATTGTATTTTCTCAGGCAATGGGAAGTAACTGGTTATTTCATTTGTATATATATATATATATATATATATATAGAGAGAGAGAGAGAGAGATCTATATATATATTTGTCTCTTAAGTTGTCCTCAACTTTATTGTCATGTCCACGAGAATTCAGTTGTTGTACGCTCTGGCCTTCTGATTGGAATTTCAAACTGAACCGAAATACATTGATTCTAGTTCCACATGCCATATCTCTTCTGGATGTCTCCATTATCTCCCTTTTAACTCAACTGCTTAATTCAACTCAACCTGCTGTAGCCAGGTATTGAACTCACAACTCTTTGGGTCAAGTCACTGGTTCCAACGAACGCTTTTATCCACTGGATATCCATATGTCCTTGAGGATATCAGTATGAACTTTCGGGATTTATAAACCTAATGTCTCAGTAACCTTTGTTTTACCAGAGCTCATATTGCAATTTTTGTTGTTATTCATTGCTTTTCTCTAGAACTTTTTATTACTGGTTCCAATATTGTATTCATTTCTATGCTTGGTTGGCTCAGGAGATTTTTGTGACCTAGCATATGTGTTGATTGCTTAAGTTTTTGTATTTTCCAGTAATGTTCTCTGTCTAGTATTTTAACTTCATCCAACATGAGGTAGTGATCTCCCTTTTCCCTCCATATATGGACAACCATGCCTGATTTTTCTATTTCCCTTCATGTTGCGCCTTCACAGTGTTCCTAGAGTTTCATCTTAAGAGGGCGGCCTGTTTCTCCTTTATATTTCTTCCCACAGCTGCACAGGATGGCATACACACAATCCTTAATCATGTTCTCTTCTCTGGGTGGTCTTATTTGGAAGAGTTTTCTGCATAGTGTTGAACCATTCCTGAAGGTTGTCCTGATGTTACATGGATCACAGATCTTTTGTATCTTTTCCTATAAGCCCTTCATATAGGGTAGGAAAACCGAGACTGTTTCCTGAGTGTTGTTATCCTTTGGTACACTTCTATCCCAGTTTGTCAGAGGTGTTGCCATGTACCCAGGGTAGTTGTTACATTGTAGAGTACTGCTTATAATAACCATTTCTTGATCATATGTCTCTGGGTCACCACTTGTGACTTTTGCTTGATGTTGTAAGCAGTGGACGGTCCCTTTCTTTACACTGTATGGGTGGTGGGAGTTGAAGTTGAGGTCTTGTCTAGTGAATGTTGGTTTGTGGTATACAGATGTCTTGAACCCATACTCTGTTTGAGATATCAGTACATTCAGGAAAGCGAGTTTGTGGTCATTTTCTTGCTCCAATCAGCTGAAGAAGGCTGAAGTGTATAATGTCTGAAACATGACATGACAATAAAGGTGAGGACAACAGTCCGAACAATGTACATAATGTAAAGGACAATTGTTTGATTTAATTCAATCATTCCTATCAAATTGTAAAATGAACGGGCTCGTTTCCACACCCTTTCACATAAAAATAGGTGTCCTCCAAGGCTTTATACTGGGTTCTACACTGTTTCTGTTCTTCATCAATAATCTTCCTGGTCATCAGCTCCCAAATAGGCATTTTTGCAGATGACACTACCATTTACTCCTGTGTCAATAGCAAATCTGTCAGAGCTGACAAAGTTAACCTGGCTGCTGCTCTTGAAAAGGACCTCCAATTATTGGTTAACTAGGGTAGGAAATGGCTCATAAATTTTAATGCCTCCAAAACTAAACTACTCTCATTTAAACAATAGAGAAATTTCCTTGCCCACTATCAGTATATACATACATACATACATACATACATACATACATACATCTATCTATCTATCTATCTATCTATCTATCTATCTATCTATCTATATATATATATATATATATATATATATGTATATAAATAAAAAAGAAAGAACAGTAAGATATATAATCTGGTGTTCTTATAGATATTTTTATTTTTACAAAATAGTGCTCGATGTAAATTTACAGAGCATTAATATTATAAATTAATTGATTTAAAATATGTTTTTTTTCACTACACAGTTTTAACCATTACAAAATTAATTACAAAATTAAATTCAGGGCTTTTAGCTTCCATTTTTGAAACATGGTTAGAACTGTGTAGCGAAAAAAACATATTTTAAATCAATTAATTTATAATATATATATATATATATATATATATATATATATATATATGTATTGTTATGGACCTTCATCTAAGTTCCTTCTAAAATCTGTAGACATGCTTATTTATATTTTAGAAGTATTTTAAATAAAAAGTCAGTACTTTCAGAAAGTTTAACAATAAAAAAAAGGTATAAAGTAAAATTGAATATTAACAAATTTTAACCAAACTTGAATGCATTTGAACAAAGATTGTACATTTTCCTTTCTCTTTTGATGATGTGCTGACAACATGTTTTAATCAGATGAAACCCAGACAGTAAAACGACCTTGAACTCTCTGAAACCCTGTAGAAGAGAGAAAGGATCCATGACCTCTTTTCAGTCACACAGGAAAAAGGTCCATATTTAGAAATCAAGGATCAAGTGATGAAACAAAGGTGAAAAAACGAACTGCGAAAAGTTAGTCTGACTTAGGTAACCAAACCAAGCAGATGGAGTTTGTGATAAAATAAGATAATCAGCTATAATTTTGTGTATGCAAAACAAACTTCCTATGGTATTTACACTGATTGGATTGTTTGGCTGGAAAGTAACAGCCAGCTATCAATTTAGATATATAAAAGGAATAGAAATCTAAGATGATTTTGAAGCTTGTACAGATTTAACAAAGTTTAACACCCAAAAGTTGGAAAATTTGGCATGAGAGAAAAGAAGTTGTATTGAAACCAGAAGAAAGATACACGTTATCCTGAGAACTATGAAACCACAGCTTCAATGGATTCATCACTCAAGCCTCTAGACCAGAAATGAGAAAAAGAAAGAAAGAAAAGATATCAAAAGAAATGAAAAGAGAAAGAAAGAAAGAAAAGATATCTAAAAGAAATGAAAAGAGAAAGAAAGAGAAAAGAGAGAAATGAAAAAAAGAAATGAAAAAGAGAAAAAGAAATGAAAAGAAAAGAAAGAGAAAAGAGATCAAAAAGAAATGAAAAGAAAAGAAAAGAAAAGAGAAAAAAAAAATGAAAAGAGAAAGAAAGAGAAAAAAGAAAAAAGAAATGAAAAGAGAAAGAAAGAGAAAAAGAGATCAAAAAAGAAATGAAAAGAGAAAGAAAGAGAAAAGAGATCAAAAAAGAAATGAAAAGAGAAAGAAAGAGAAAAGATAAAAAGAAATGAAAAGAAAAGAAAGAGAAAAGAGATAAAAAGAAATGAAAAGAAAGAAAGAGAAAAAGAAAAAAAAAGAAATGAAAAGATCAAAAAAGAAAAAAGAGATAAAAAGAAATGAAAAGAAAAGAAAAGAGATCAAAAAGAAATGAAAAGAAAAGAAAGAAAAAGAGATCAAAAAGAAATGAAAAAGAGAAAGAAAGAAAAAAAGAGAAAAAAAAGAAATGAAAAGAGAAAGAAAGAAAAAAGAGATCAAAAAGAAATGAAAAGAAAGAAAGAGAAAAAAGAGATCAAAAAAAAATGAAAAGAGAAAGAAAGAGAAAAAGAGATCAAAAAAAAATGAAAAGAAAAAGAAAGAGAAAAAAGAGATCAAAAAGAAATGAAAAGAGAAAGAAAGAGAAAAAGAGATCAAAAAGAAATGAAAAGAGAAAGAAAGAGAAAAAGAGATCAAAAAGAAATGAAAAGAGAAAGAAAGAGAAAAAGAGATCAAAAAGAAATGAAAAGAGAAAGAAAGAGAAAAAGATATCAAAAGAAATGAAAAGAGAAAGAAAGAGAAAAAGATCAAAAAAAAATGAAAAGAGAAAGAAAGAGAAAAGATAAAAAGAAATGAAAAGAGAAAGAAAGAGAAAAAGAGATCAAAAGAAATGAAAAGAGAAAAAAGAAAAAAAAGAAAAAAAAAGAAAGAAATGAAAAGAAAAAAAAAAGAAAAGAGAAAGAAAGAAAAAGAAAAAAAAGAAAATGAAAAGAAAAGAAAGAAAAAAGAGATCAAAAAGAAAAGAGAAAAGAGAAAGAAAAAAAGAGAAAAAGAGATCAAAAAGAAATGAAAAGAGAAAGAAAGAGAAAAAGAGATCAAAAAGAAATGAAAAGAGAAAGAAAGAGAAAAAGAGATCAAAAAGAAATGAAAAGAGAAAGAAAGAGAAAAAGAGATCAAAAAGAAATGAAAAGAGAAAGAAAGAGAAAAAGATATCAAAAGAAATGAAAAGAGAAAGAAAGAGAAAAAGAGATCAAAAAGAAATGAAAAGAGAAAGAAAGAGAAAAAGAGATCAAAAAGAAATGAAAAGAGAAAGAAAGAGAAAAAGAGATCAAAAAGAAATGAAAAGAGAAAGAAAGAGAAAAAGAGATCAAAAAGAAATTTAAAATAAAAAAAGAAAAAGAGAGATACACTTAAGAGACATTAAGCTAAAAGAAGATAAAAGAAAATGAACTTTGATAACAATCAGATAAGTCTTTGTTTCACTTACATATACTTTGCTTACTTTGCTCAATGTATTTTGTTGTATATTTGCATGCAGGTCTGACCTAATATTTTCTATTAATCGTCTAGTTACCTTTCTGAACGGATAAATTCCCCCTCCCATTATTAAACCCCACAATATTTCTTTTTGAATTATTGTTTTTGTTTTTGTCATATCTTTCATATTATTTTCTCATTGTATTTTACAGTAATAAATTTATTTAATTGCTAAATCTGCATCTGTGTTTCTGTTGTTTGCAACCCGCTGTATGTGTTCCTTAAGCAATTCCAGCCAGTTTGACCATATCTGATCAATTGGAAAGAGACCCTTGGGGAAAGAAATTTGTTGTAATAATTGTATACATACTATTTACATTGTTTGAACTATCATCCTCACCTTTGTTGCCATATTTATCACAATATTTTAGCCGTTGTATGCTAGGCCTTCTTCAGCTGGTTAGAATGTCGAACCGAACACTTTATTTTGCATGCTGGGGTAGACTGTTCGAGTTCCACATGCCATATCTAATGGATGACAGTTATCAGGTATCTCCTGTTAATTCTCCTCTTCAAGTTCTCCATTGCCTTAATCAGGTATTGAACTCACACTCTTTGGGTCTTGTCACTGGATCTAACTAGTGCCTTTATCCAATGTGCCATGTGTCCTTGAGGACTACCTGAAGAAGCCTGGAGCATACAATGTTTGAAATGTTGTGATAAATATGGCAACAAAGATGTGGATAATAGTCTGAATAATGCAAAATTCACTTGAAGATGAAATGGAACTAATGTCTTTAATTTAATTGAAAATTAAATTGGAAACATGGTGTCTTTATATTTAAATCATTTATATTTTATATATATTAATGTATTCGGATATATATGTATATATATGTTATATATATATGTATATATATGTATATATTTGTATATGTATATATATATATGTTAATATATATATAAAACATGTATAAATATATATATATATATAATATATATATATATATATCCATATATATTATATATATATATATATATATATATATGTATATATATATATATATGTATATATATATATATATATATATGTATATATATATGTATATATATATATGTATATATATGTATATATATATATATATATATATATATATATATGTATATATATGTATATATATATATATATGTATATGTATATATATATATATATATGTATATATATATATATATATATATATATATATATGTATATATATATATATATATATATATATATATATATATATATATATATATATATATATATATATATATATATATATATATATATATATATATATATATATATATATATATATATATATATATATATATATATATATATATGTATATATATATGTATATATATATATATATATATATATATATATATATATATATATATATATATATATATATATATATATATATATATATATATATATATATATATATATATATATATATATATATTTAGTGTATTAGCAGTTCATTATTCAAACATATTGTTAAATATAACAGACAGCGAATGTCTATTATGTTTGATCATGAACCGTTCTAAACTTCATATAGTTGCTTTAATTTCAGGAGAAAATAAAGACACTGTCCAACATTTGGCTATTTCTTTTTATTATGCTTGATCTAAGCTTTTGGCTCACATTATCCATCTTCAGTGTGGTTATATGGACATTTAAACAAAGATATTTAAAGATGATATTCTATTATGTTGACATAGAAGATGTGATGATAATGGTCAAAGAATAGCAGGTACAGGTATGACATCATAGAATAGCATCACAAATTTATGACCTTTACAAAGTAAATATGTATACAGACTTATCAGCTAAGCTAGAGCTTTGTAAAAAAAAATCATCATTGTATGATTTATATTTACGAAGATATTTTAAAATTAAAATGCATTAGAATGCATTTGAAATTCTCAGAATTAAAAAGTAAAAATGAACGATAATAATTCTTATTCCAGATTAGTAATTACTGTTTGTTTTTACATTTTTATTCTGCTAAATGCTTTACATGTATGTATTTTAAAAATTTCTATTCTCTTGAATTTATTTTCACATTTCTAATAAATAAAAGCGTAACTTCAAAAAATGAATATTAAAACAACAAAGCAAATTTAAAAGAAGAAGAATATTAAATACAATTATTTGACAAAAAGTTCAATATTTATTTATTCAAATATTCTAGTGCATGTGTGTGTCTGTGTGTGTATGTGTGTCCAGCTAAAACTAAAAAACATAATTAATATGTGTGTGTGACTTATTAATATTTTTCGGCAATCTTATGGAAAATAATTTTTTTATTAAATCTTTAAAAAATAAACTTTATTGTTTTTTTGGTTTGTAACTGACATATAAAAGTAAATTATTTTCAATTAAGTTTTATTAAAGCAAAAAATTATAGCGTGTCTTATTTTTTAAAAATTAATTGATATAGTTAAATTTGTAAGACAAATATTGAACACGACTAATGTCATGTTCAATATTTGTCAACTAAATTTATCTTTCTTCTACTCTCTTTCAAAATAGTTTTTAATTAATGTTTAAAAGTAAAACTATATTTACTTAAAAAAATCTGAATTCACCTCAAAAATAAATAGTAAATAATTATTTTTTGAAGAAGTAAAGCTTGCTATAGTTTTGCTTGAAAAAAATGATTAAATTAAATATGTTTAAATATATCTTAATTTAAGTTTATAAACATTTTTATTAATAATAATTTGAAAAAAGGTTAATGAACTTTTATGTAAGTTTGATTTGTTTGAAAACTACATTAGCAAAATATTTATGTTAGTATTTAAATTGAAAAATAAAGTGTCTTTTTGAATAAAAATATGGGGATGCTCAGCACCTTAAGCCCCTCCCTGCCAAACGTCGTATTGATAGTGTGATATTTTTCTAAATTTAGTTATTTTGTAAAAACCCCCACAAAAAATGAAGATTTATTTTTAAAGATTGAATAAAAATTATTTTTCCATAAGATGGTTGAAAGATATCAACAAATTGTCAATAATAAACTATTATTCAGAGATCTGAGCAATCATAGTATATATATATATATATATATATATATATATATATATATATATATATATATATATGAAGAAATATAGTCTTAAGGTATTTATATAAAGTGCTCAATATCAGAGATATATAAATATATATATATATATATATATATATATATATAGCATGTGTAAATATATATATATATATATATATATATATATATATATATATATATATATATATCCAAATGATAATAAATTTCAACTTCAAAACATTAATTTAAAAAGAGGGCTCAATACAAAAGTAGAGCAATATTTATTTACTATAAGTTGTTACATACGAACAAACAAGTAATTACTACAAAAAGATTCATATTTGTTTCGATGCCTAATATAAACATCTCATCATATTATAAATGATTTTATTTAGAAATGCTACTTATGAAACATCACTTCTTTTTACATTATTTAAAATTTAGGAAGGCATAAGAATTTCCATCATACCAACTGTTCCATATGATGAAGATATATATATCTGTCTGGGTTTCAATTCTTGGTATATGATTCCAAATATAGGACAAAACAGCCGTGTAATTCTGTTGAGGCTTCTTCTAACTCAATGAATTATAATTATAATTCTCAAATCCTCCTAATTTTATCACACACACATATATATATCTCAATATAATGAGAATGATAAAAAATTTAAACGTTCATAGCATTAATTTAAAAAGAGGGCTCAATACCAAAAGTAGAGCAATATTTATTTACTATAAGTTGTTACATACGAACAAACAAGTAATTACTACAAAGATGCATATTTGTTTCGATGCCATCAGGTGGTGAACAAAGGTTATAAACGATTTTATTTAAAAATGCTACTTATGAAACATCACTTCTTTTTACATTATTTAAAATTTAAGAATTTCCATAAAAGGAAAAGGAAAAAAATTTAATAATATAAGCAGGTAAAAGCAAAAAAGAAGAGGATAAAAAAGAAAAAAGGAAAGAGAAATATAAAAAGTTAAGAAAAAGCATAAGGAAAAGAAGAGAATAGAAAAACGAAGAGGAGTAATATATCAAAATTGCTTAATACACAGAAAAGGAAAAAAGGAAAGAAAATGAAAAAGAAGAAAGAAAAGAAGACAATAAATAATATATATATATATATCAAGAATACATATACATCAAGAAGTCATATTTCTGAAAATTAAGATATATATATATATATATATATATATATATATTTATACACGTTTCATTAAATAATATAGACAAGTGTTGTCTATTTATTTTATAAAATATCTTCTGATAAGTTTGATAACATTATCATTATTCACAATATTTATCCATTATTTTTTTAATAAAATCTAAGCTATAAGCCATTATCAAAGATGTAATTACAAAACATATCAAACAATATACGGACACAACAGTGATGATAATCTGTCATTGTTTTGTTTTACATAGTGGATCATACAACGATGAACACGCTCATATTTCTCATGACGTCACTAAAATTGTAAATGAAATAAGGAAAGCCGTTGGTATAAACCAATGGCTTCTGTTACCAATTATATTATAGACATTTAAGAATATTTGTATATTCCATAGTTGATTTTGTTTAGGTTGGGTTTTAACTGTTTGATGTATAATGCTAAATTTTTAGTTTTTGTCTATTGTTTTCATGTCGAAGTATAGTTGTGTTTTCGAAAAGTATTTTACGGAATTGTGTGTGCGGGCAGGCATGTTGTTTTAAATGCCTAAAAATGTTAGAGTTTTCATTAAAATGTAGTGTCAAGCGTCATGAAAGCGAGTTTGTGGTGTGACCAACATAAAAAAAAAAATAATGGATAAATATTGTGAATTTCTTTTTTCGGAATGATAATGTTATCAAACTTATCAGAAGAACGAAAAAAATTTTTAAAAAAATAAATAGACAACACTTGTTGTGTATAAATGAAAATATGCTGCCTAAATACACAATATATATATATATATATATATATATATATATCAGTGTGACTTGATGTCATTAGTCTGGAGGAGCAGATCTTAGTATGCATCACCTTTGGAAAGTACCTGAAAACTAAAGCACAGGTTGTGAAATTGGGTTGAGAACCATCAGTGGTTGTACTAGCACAAGGTCACAAGTCATCATGGCCACAGGTTTGAGCTTCCCGGCCTTGCTCTAAATGTTGATCACGTTAGATAATGCTCTCTTTCCCAGAAACTGTAATGAAGATCTGTTCAGCAATAATCTAGTATAAATCAGAGGTGGGCTATGTAAATGTTGATGAGAAATAAATGTGCCTGAGCAGGCGTTTTCAAAAGGGATTAGCTAACTGTCCTAGTAGACTGGCATCCTCAGGTATGTGTGGCTGCACCATTTAGATTATATATATATACATATATATATATATATATATATATATATAGTTATTTTCCAAGTGTAGCTTAGATGTGGCACAAGGCCGAAAGTATGGGGCATCTAGTGAGAATCGAACTCACTTTTCAGTTGTAACTGATCTAGCGAGACAAGCTTGCTAACCATTACACCACGCCGAGGTGATATATATACAGCGCAACTTCCATTCTTGAACGTCTCACATGTTGAACAAATCGGTTGCCGAACAGAATATTTGAGATGAAAATGCCTCGGTTATCAGACAAAATTTCGGTTCTTGAAAGAAATTGCTGAACTGAGCCAAACTGTTGACAGTTTCAACCATTTGCTTTTGATTTCCATCAACACAGCTATAATGACAATATTCTCCACACGTGACAATAACTGACATTATTTTCAGTTAACAATATGAAAATAGCGTTCTCTACATTCTTTCAGTTGCTAAGGGCATTCTGTTTTTTGTCATTATTAGTTGCTTTCTTTAATTAAATTCATTTCGTTTTTTGCTTTGAGAAAGTCCACATTGGACGAAATGTGTCAGCAATAACTACAAGTTTTCCTATTGTCATTTATATTCATAAATATTGTCTTTTCTACAGGTTAACTCTGAGAAATTTTCATATATATATATATATATATATATCTTTGGAATATCTTTTCTGTCTTTCCACACAATCAGAAGGGGATAGTTTATTATTCATGAGGTATTGGCAGAGGTTGTTAAAAACCATTGTCTTTCATTCATTCTTTTATTTACTCACTGAAACCAAGTAGTGTCTCTGATGTTTTTTCACTTGATACATTATTGATGAGATATTGCCTGGGCATAACGTGACATACATGCTAGCTAATGGAGGCACAAGAAGAATTATAACAAGATGTGTGTGTGTGTGAGAAAAATAGATACATTTTTATATATGTAGATACATGCCTACATACTTGTTGTCTTAATTGGCGTACAGCCACATCATGTTGAAATAAGCCCATGACAATACGATCGCTGAAGTTAAACAACATTGAGCCTGGTCAGGACCTAGATGGGTGACTGCTTGGTAATACCAGGTGCTGTAAGCTTGGATTTGTATAGGTGTTGTAATGGATAATGTCTTGGAATAGTTAATTGGAGAGTTGAGTTCCAATTCCAGTTGGGTTCACTATATTCATTTATGCGCAAATATCTTTGGGAAAAGTATGAATCCACCTCTTCTCCCTCCAGCTATGGGTTAATTAGTAAGACTTGTATCACTAAACCATTATTATCTCCAAAAATAAAATAAAATTGCATACAAAATCTCTACTATGCCTGCTCTTGTGGTACTACAAAGGATTGAACTCAACATCTTTGGTTAAAAAATTCCTGAAGATATTAGACTCCCACTCTTCAGATGTCCTCTAAGCAGTGGCAGTAGCAGGCTTGTCTCCCTTCCTTCCAAAGTGAATTTAACCTTCAGGCATTATTTAAATTTCTCCTCAGTGAATATTTTTCTGTTGTCAGGTGAAGTGCCCAGTTAACTTGCTTTTCTGCCATGTTTAGACACAGACAGCATCCCATGCTAACATTTTTGTTTACTTGTATATATGTATATATATTCATGAAAATCATAGACTTATTTTATTGATGTAAATAAATTTAGATTTATTTTATTATGTAAATAAAATCATGGACTTAGTTTATGATGTAAATAAAAACCATGTTGTTCATCCCCCTCTCCAGATGTTTGTAAAAATTGGGCTATTAGTTTTGGTATTAATGGAGAGAATGCATTATTTAGTGATTGTAGATGTGTTTTTATATAAATGTGGTATTATGGTGAAAGGATGATTATAAGCATGATTGGTCAGTAAATGTGACTAGTTAAATTTAAGTGATGACCAACTTTTCCCCATTTTTGGCTTTGTGCCACATACATAAATAAATACTTTGTTGTCTGGTGAAGTGCTGTCACTCATTTTATTGAGCAAGATCCTGTTTTCTCACAAAATATTTTGATTTCAGGATTAAATGACCGATAGAGGTTGATATGTTACTAAATAAAAACAACTAACCAAATTGTTGTCTTAAAGCTTTTTATATAATGTAATTTTTTTTTTTTTTGTCCTTAGGTTCAGTGGGCAAAAAAAGCTGGCTGCAAAGTGATCGGGACATGTTCTTCAGATGAGAAAGTGGAATTTCTTAAGGTAGATCTTCAGTTACTTAATGTCTTTTTATTTGCTTTTTTATTCTCCCTCGCGTGTTTTAGTTGCGTAACTTAGCTAATTCGCCATGCAAACTGCCATTCACTACATTGACAAAAGTAAAACAAGCAAAAAAACACACACCAACTAATTCACTCTTCTTCACAAATCAGTTATTTGTAGCCAATGTTTTTCATCGTTTTTCCTGATCATTAGCAAACAGCAACTTTTAGCTCTGATGAGTCAATTCATTCCAGTTATTGATTTTCATTAGTGAACTTTGTTTGCCTGCCTGGCTTGTTTGCTAAGTTTTACAGCTTAAAGGGCCATTTGTTGATGGCTTGATATTACGATACTGTTTCAGATTAAATTGCTTTTCAGACATGCCTTGAAAATCAGTCTCCCTGAGCTATTGACGTGCATAGTTTGTCTGCTCATTGAGTAATTTAAGTACAGTGTGTGCAGAAAGGATGGTTTACTGTGTCAGAGAATTTTTCATGCCAGAATCCATCTTGCACATTTATAAATCCACCATATGACCGTGCATTGAATATTTCTACCATATCTGGTCTAGTGTTCTTGCTATATATCTAGAATCTAGAAGAATCTGCAATATTATCAGTTATGATCTAGCATAATGACTTCAGTCACTTTCCCACCATTGTGATGCTATGTAAAAAAGTGTAAAAACAGGTTTTAATACCAGAAATACTTTGCAAAAAATTATTTCTAGCAATAAATCTTTGAAGAAAAAACTATTACCAGCTATACATTTTTGAGAAAAAAATATTACCAGTAGTAGTTTTTTGAAAAAAATTATTACCAGCAACACATTTTTGAAAAAAAAAAATTATTACCAGAAATAGATTTTTGACAAAATAAAATATTATCAGCAATGAAAATTTTGTCGGCATTAAATAACCCATAGGGATTGATATGCCATAAAACAAACCAAACCAAACCAAACCACCAGTGTGATGTGGCTTCCCTCTGTCTTTTCTATAAATATGTTCATGGCAGCTGTTCTAATAAGCTCTCCTCTTTGATAACTTGACATTTTTGTTTTAATCATTTCACCCCAAGCAAGGTAATAAAGCCACTAGGATGCAAGAGGTTACTAAGTGTTTGAGAATTTGAGAAAAACTGCTATTAAAGAGGGAGGACAATAAAAGAAAAAGAATTAAGACAGAAGATAACAATTGACATTGCATTTAAAGTTTTAAAGATCAACATTGACTGTGAAGAAAGAAACTGGAAAGGAGTTCCATACGAAAGAAGTGTGAGAGAAGAAACTGTTAGCATAGAACTTACAGTTATATCTAGTGTGGAGTGAGTAGCCATGGTCAGATGCAAAATAAATAACAGAACAATCCCACAAACAGAATTAACAAAGTTTGCAATAACAAGAAAACTCCCTTCTGCTTTCTTGCTTCCCTGATAACTACAATCCTCAAAAATTTAAATTCAATATCATTCACCATCTTCTTGAAACTCGTTTGTCTTTTGTTCTTTCCTCAATCATGCCTATACTCTGTCTTTTCTCTCACTTTCACTCTTTGTAAACCCCTGCATACTAGTGACATTCCCACCTTGCTTGAGGTGGAATAATTAAAAAAAAAAATTTGAAGCTTCTTTCTCTTGATATCAACCTGAGAGCAGACAGATATATGAAAGCTGAGGTTAGAATGACACCTCACCATTTGAATACATTAGTCCTGAAACCAATATTTCTATTCTCCTGTCCTTATATCTATTTATCTTCCTGGTGCCTTATAACATAGGCTGTTGGTGAGGTTTCTGTAGTTGAATTGTTCTCCTCATTTTTGTAGGGATTTTTTTAAGGTTAAAAGGATATATTGTACACCAACATATATGGTATGGTACATTTATTTTTTCTTTTGTTTTCTGTAGAGCTGAAAAATGAAAATTTCACTGATGGCTCAGTATTTTTGCATCACCATGTTTATGATCATCCACCATACGTCACTAATGAAAAAGCCGTAACTTGTTTTCTGGCCCTCAAAGATCATAAAATATACTAACACATACTGCTAATCATTCTTGATTTTCAGAGGAAATTAACAAAAGTAATCATTTTACCATGGTGTCCAAAAGTTTTGCATGCCAGTGTACACACACACATACTTATGTGTTTGCATATATAGATTGGCATTCCAGTTCTCAAGTGTTCTACAAACAAAAATTGCTTGTGGCCTGAAACTGTTTCACTAGGCAGTAATGATTGTTCATACTGTATATATCTATAAATGTTTTATCTACAATACTGTGAACTTATGAATTTCATAATCTTTTTTTGTTTATTTTATTTATAAATTTCATAATCTTTTTTTTTGTTATGTTTATTTTAAATACAAAACAATCCCATTAAAAAATATTATCTGCCCCATTATTGCAACAACCAGATATATTTAACAAAATTTAAATTATGTTATGGTCAGTCTTAACTCAGCACCTGAAGATTGTGTTGTCCATGAAACTCTTGAGTCATGCTACTGCTGAGGAAATATATATATATATATATATATATATATATATATATATATATAGATACACCTAGTGAGCCAGACAAACCTACCTAAGTTTCACCTAAAATGGTCGTCAGGGAAAGTAAGGCTAACGAGGCAAAGAGAAACGCATATTTATAGGCGATAACCAAAATCATACCATGTGACCAAAGAACCACAAACACAAACTTAAGTGGTTGGGGGGTGGTGGTGGTAAATATTTATTCAACAAAAATGGGAGGGGAAAAAAAACCGCAAAAAAACCAACATCAAGTTGGAATGACAATAAACGGGAAAATGTCTAATCTAGTAGCCAAGATTTTTTATGTCTACATACGTTAAGGATTTCAGTTTTAGAGTTTAATAGCTGGTTAGGTTGATCATATAAAGCTATGGCTAATTTCTCCTCTGCATATAATTTACAAAATTTATGGCCTGCTTTATATTTTGGGCATTTTTTTAATATTTCCCATTTAAGGATGGGGTCTATATTATCTTCCTGTTTGGTTTTCCATACATAAGTAGATAGCGTGGTACTATGTTTAATTTTTGTGTTTTTAAAACTACTCATGTGGTTATAATATCTTTTTTTAAATTTACCCTGAGTAGCACCTATGTATGTTTTATGGTTTATATATATATAAAAATCCATATAAATCTTACTTTAACAAATTTCATCTGTCAATGTGACTTTGACGCCTGCAGCAAGGCTGTGCTAGTATCACACTTAAGAAAGCACAAATCAAATATGTTTTTGCCGTATCTATCCACAATAGCCCCTGCTAGCATGCATAAGTGTAAAACAAAAGGCACCCATCCAATGCTGACCCTCATTTATCATTCAAGATAGGTGAGTCCACCATATATATATTTAGTACAGTTAACAAATCTGTTGGAATATGGTTAATGTGGATCCTAGTAATATAAAATATTAAAATCGCTCCACAAATAGACCTCAATGTATTTATTATAACACTGCATATAAATTACACAACAAAATCACAAATTATCTCATATTGTGCAGGGGGGGGGGCAGATCTATTTCAACTGACAAAACTACATCAGTCTTATTCCACCCCAGTGTATAGACTGTATTCATGACGGAATTAGAATTTTAACTTTAGTAGCTATCGAAAAATTGATACAGAAATCATCCAATTTTGATGCTTCAGTCAGACTGTAATATATATATATATATATATATATATATATATATATATATATATATATATATATATATATATATATGTGTGTGTGTGTGTGTGTGTGTGTAAACTGTTTATGCTACATTTTGCTTTTCTTACATTTTTTCTTTTTTCAGGGCATTGGATGTGATCGGCCAATTAATTACAAGAAGGAAAACATGAAAGACATTCTAAAATCAGAATTTCCTGTAAGTTATATGAAATATTCTGCATTTTTGTCCTTTTTTTTTTTAAAATAAAGATCACAACACAAATAATGTAACAAATAGATACAAAGTATTCATCAATTGTCTAAAGGCATAAAAACCCAAGTAAATTATAGATCACAGATATTAATGAAATATTATTTATAAAATATTAAATGTTATGTAAAGAAAATATATACAAAATATTGATTAATTATTTGATTAGCATTATTTTGAAGATGGATTGTGTATGGTTGTCAGCAAGAGATAGAGCTCAAGAAGCGACCTATGAATTGGACACGCCAAAATCAAGGAAGTATGAAAATTTAAATATTTGAGAAGTGTTTTAACAGACAATGGAAAATGTGACACCAAAATCTGAAGGCACATTGGAATAGCAAAAGATGCCTTACCAAAGCTAAGCAAAGTATTAAGAAACATGAAAATTTCATGAAAAACAAAGGAAAGAGTGCTTAACTGTTATGTACTGTGTTGTGGCCTTCTTAGGGCCAGAAATAAAGACACAAAGAGAGGCATTGAATTAAACAAATATATTAACAGAAACGGTAATACAAACATATACAAATGAGTGTTACAGCAAGAATGTTCGGTCCAACTGTCAGAACTGACTGCTGGAAACTTCCCTCTCCAAAAGGCAGTACCTGCTCCTATTTATAGCTGGGAGAGTCCATGTGTGCATAGGTAAATTACCATAACATAATGTCAGTCCTCCTACATGGCATTTGAATGCTAGGCAATCTCCTCATAAATGCTGAGGATACTGGAAGTAGCAGAAATATGAGTCTACAGAGAATGACATGGATTGAACATATGAGTAATGAGGAAGTTTTAAGGATAACAGAAACAAAAAAGACACATATATTTAAAATCAGGAAGAGTTGAAATTTAAAGGCACATAAATACGAAAGAGGGTATGGAAAATTTGACACTCACAGGACATATTGAAGATAAGATACAGAGGAAAGCAGTCAGTAGCTTACCTAATGAGTTTGTGTAGATCAGGGGTCATCAAACATTTTTGACCAGAGACCCCCTTTTGTGTCTCTCTCTTCCCCAGTGCCACCCCCTCCCTTAAAATATCCTTGAACCTTAAAACTTGCACCAATGTTGGCAATTAAATGTTAATTAAAATGTATGAAATGTTAAGAAATTTGGATCAGGTTCTGAATCAACCCCCCCACTCCCCAACGTCATCACGTTCTGAATGTTTCCCCCAAAATATTTATTAAATAACCCCAATGAATAAAGCCAATAATATATTAAGTACAGCAAGCCTAAATGCAGCCAATGCTATTGAACAGAAATGCCTAACTGCTACTAATATCACTATTTACATTATTTGGACTATTGTCTGAATCTTTGTTGCCATATTTATTACAATATTTCGGCCGTTGAATGCTCTGGCCTTCTTCAGGTGGTTGGAATATCAAACTGAACCCTTTATTTCGCTCACTGGGGTAGACTGTTCTAGTTCCATGTGCCATCTTTAATGGATGTCAGTTATCCATGTTTTAAATTATCTCCTGTTAATTCCCCTCTCCAAGTTCTTCATTGCCTTAACTGGGTATTGAACTCACATTCTTTGGGTCTTTGGTGCTTTATCTTTGTAATCACCATTAGACTCATCCAACTCCTCTGCACTGTCCTTAGATTGCCATGCAAACAATCTGAAATGTTTGTATTGAAGGTTCTGATTTGAATGCCAAGCAGTACAGTATGCTGTTTCCAAATTTCTGGCAAAACAAATTGCCTTATTGTGTACTTTTTTTCACAGACGGTGCCCAACTGAGCCTACTGTACTGTCCAGTTGACAAAATCAAAAACAAACAACATGCATGTGTAAAATGAAAAATATAAATAATGACTATTTACCTGTTGCACCTTGGATGTTGGGAGTACTACTTAAGTAGACAGGTCAGGTCCACTTGTAAAAAAAATATTAACCTTCATCACACTGCAGGTGAAAAAAGTCATCATAGAATTCTCTCCCTTTGTTGCTCTAAGCACATTCTGTCGCCTTGTGACGGTTGCTATAAACAAACACTTGTCAACTGTTATTTCCAGTATTTTAAACTGGAGATCGCCTATTACTGTTTTGGAAAAAGGTTAAACTTCCTTTTTCCAACACCATTTTGAATTCTTCTAGACTCTACATGAGGTGTAATATTGATTAAACCCATGTTAATTTTTTTGTGATTTTTTTGTAAACAAAAATGGCTGCATCAATATCCAACAAAGCCTTTATTCAGGTCATTAGGACTCAGATGATGATTTTGAAGGCTATCCTTGAGTGGATATTCAAAAAAAAAAAAAAAATGCAGTGGCAAGGTGAACAATTCTAGAAAGAAATTAGCATGGTAAAGGTTAATATTAAATATTAGCAATAATCTTTCTTTTTGTCCATTTTATAAGGGTATTCTGTTCATAATATGAATAGTGTAAAGTTGATTGCTGACTTTTTACAGAGATATCTAGACATAGAAGAAGAAAAGTGTTTCTTTTTCTATGTACCATGCCTCTTCCTGATATGGGCAATCATGGCTCTCCACAATTTCCTGTCCTTTGTAGCTCTTTATCTTTTTTCTATCTCTCCTAAATGCTTTTCTACCAACCATTTACACAAGCTTATTAGGTAGGTTATTCTCTGTTTTTCTTGTGGGTGTCAAATTTCCAAGCCCTTTTTCCTCATTATTTGCCCTAGAAATTTCAATTCTCTTTTTCTGATACCACGTATGTGTCCTTCTTGTTTCCATCTTCTCTAAAGCTTTATTGTTGCTCACACGTTTTGTTCATGGTATTCTCAGCATCCCCCATAGAACCACATTTTTGTTGCTTCAAATCTCCTCTTCATCTGTGAGGAGATTGTCCAGCATTCACTGTCTTATATAAGCACTGACATTGCTTAACAGTTTAGTACTCTTTTCTTTGTTCCTAACAAAATTTTTCTGTTTCTTAATACTTTGCTTAGCTTTTAGAAGGCATCTTTCACTATCCCTATATACTTTCACATTTCAGTTTTGCACTATCTGTCCTCTGCTAAAACACTTCCCAGATATTCAAATTGTGGTACTTGCTTGATTTTGTTATCTCCAATTTGTAATTTGCATGTTGGGCCCATCCTTTTGCCAACAACTATGCATTCTATCTTTTTGCAACTGATGTTTAGTCCTTTCTTCTTTCTTTCCTTCACTATTTTCTGTAGGAGTTCTTGTAGATTCCTTTCTGTGTCTGCTATCAACACTTTGTCATCTGCATATCTTATGTTGTTAAGATTGTAATCATAAATATTGAATCCTGGTAGGACTTAATTCTTTAAGGATTGTTTCACAGTAAATGCTGAATAAGTTCAGTAAGAAGAGACATCCTAGTCTTATGACTCTTTCTATTTTTGTATGTGTATATTCAGAATTTCTTTAAGAAAAAGAAAAACTGTGTTAAGGAGTGAGAACAATAAAAGAACAGAAATTAAGAAAACAGAAGATAATGATTGACATTGCATTTAAATTTTTGAAGATCAAAGTTGACTTCAAAGTAAGAAGCCAGGAGAGTTTTCCACAAGTGAGAAGTGTGAGAAAAGAAACTGTTAGCATAGCAAATATGTAGCTAAGCATGGAATGAACAACAGTATAAAAATAAAATAAAAATGATCTAGCATTATTGTAATGGAAGATTGCACCTTTTCACTGAATTCTGAATAGACAGGTTTTGTCAACTGCTGTTGTCTAATTGGGAACAGTACTTGTTAAAATCATTTGGTTCTCAAAAAATGATCTACAAGTAGAAACCTGTCTATATTTCTGAGATGAGGTATTATGTACACTATTTACATTATTCGAACTGTTGTCATCTTTGTTGCCATATTTATTACAATGTTTTTGCTGTTGTACACTCCAGCCTTTTTCACAGGGTTGGAATGTTGAACTGAGCCCTTTATTTCACTCACCCCTTTCTCATTTTCTTTCCTTCTGTATCCAATAAATGTCTGCCATGTTTCGTGTTGGCTTTCTCAAATGTCCCTGTTTTTTGAGAACCAAAATGTCCCTTTTCTCCCTAACCCTCCTTTTCATTTTTTTCTTTCAGTATCTAATACATGTCTGCCATGTTTTGTGTTGGCTTTCTCAAATGACCCTTTTCTCCCTACCCATCCCTTTTCATTTTTTTTTCTTCCAGTATCTAATAAATGTCTGCTATATTTTTGTTGTTGGCCTCCCTACCCATGATTTTTTTCCCAGTATCTAATAAATGTCTGCATCCCTTTTCATTTTTTTTTCTTCCAGTATCTAATAAATGTCTGCCATGTTTTGTGTTGGCTTTCTCAAATGACCCTTTTCTCCCTACCCATCCCTTTTCATTTTTTTTCTTCCAGTATCTAATAAATGTCTGCTATGTTTTGTGTTGGCTTTCTCAAATGAGCCTTTTCTCCCTAACCCTTTCTTTTTTTTCTTCAATCTAATAAATGTCTGCCATTTTTTGTTGGCCTGTATTCTAGTCAAATATCTGCCTTGTGTTTTTTTTTTTTCTTCCAGTATCTAATAAATGAAATGGCTTTTTCTCAAAATGTCCTTCCTTTATCTCCCTTGTGTTGTGACCTCCCTTTTCCCATTCTTCTTTTTCTTCAGGTATCCAATAAATGCCTGCCCTGTTTTGTGTTGGCTTTATCATGTGACCCTTTTCTCCTTAACGCCTTTTCTCATTGTTTCTTCTGTTATCGAATAAATGCCCACCGTGTTTAGTGTCATCTTTTTTTTTTTAAGCATTTCACCCCAAGCAAGGCAAGAAGCCACTAGGACGCAAGGGGTTACAGAAAATTTGGAGCAAGTTCAGATAAGAGTGATAGAAGAAAGGATGAGGAGAAGGGTAGTGGATAGATCAAGGTAACTGGAGATGTTGACTGACATTACATTTGAACAGCTGGAGATTATAGCTCTCAGGGAAACTGGAATAGGGAAGGGAGTTCCACAGGCGAGAGGTGAGATATGAAG